CTCGCAAAGGCAAGGGTGGGAAGGACACCGCTCTCATCACGAAGGGGGGGTGGGAGTATTGGGGCTAGTTAGCCTATAGTACTGACTTCCCACAAGGAACCCATGGGGCAGACACGGCTGTGAGTGCCAGAGGGTGCATAGAAGCCACGTGTGGCGCAGATTTCGCAAAGGCACGGGTGGGAAGGAATCCACTGATGAGACGGGCGGGCCGTCGGTGCAAGCCCACCTGGGTATGGCTGTACGTGGTTGCGTATGCTTGTATAGTACTTCCAGACACGACTCTGGGTGCAAGTGTGTGCATAGGAGCGTACATGTTTGGGTACAGCTTTCGCAAAGGCAAGGGTGGAGAGAAATCCGCTGATCAGACGGCCGGGCTGTGAACACAAGCCCATGTGGATAGGACAGGTTGAACTTGACGTATGCTACGACCGCTCCCCAAGGAACCCAGTGGGCAGACACGCGTGTCAGGTTTCGAAAGATGATCTGGCAAACGCGACGGTGTGGGCAGGAATCGATCAGGCGGGGGGGCCCGTGAGCGCAAGCCCATGCGGATATGGTGGTACGTGGTCTAGAATCTAGAAGTCCCGCAAACCGGTACCTTCCCCAAGGAACCGGCATCACCAGGCATCCATTGGCACGGCAGAATCCGCTGATCGGACGTGGGGACTCCTGAACACGAGCCCGTGTGATACGCCAGTCTGTGTTGACGTTTGCGTGGCCGTATGCTCCTAACGGCCTCCCAAGTTCCAAAGAACCCACTGGGCAGACATGCCTTCGCAAAGGCAAGGGTGGGATTGAATCCGTTGAGCCGATGCAGGTAGTGCAGTACGTGGTCTGGGTTTCCGGTAAACCACAGTGGCTTATTTGCGAGGCATCAGCAGACACGGCACGGCAGTAAAGTGCGTGAGCACCGGTCAGGTCTCGCAAAGGCAAGGGTGGGAAGGACACCGCTCTCATCACGAAGTGGGGGTGGGAGTGTTGGGCTAGTTAGCCTAGTACTGGCTTCCCAAGGAACCCACGGGGCAAGGGTGGGAAGGACACCGCTCTCATCACGAAGTGGGGGTGGGAGTGTTGGGCTAGTTAGCCTAGTACTGGCTTTGCAAGGAACCCACGGAGCAGACACGGCTGTGAGTGCCAGTGCGTGCATAGAAGCGACGTGTGGCGCAGATTTCGCAAAGGCACGGGAGGGAAGGAATCCGCTGATGAGACGGGCGGGCTGTCGGTGCAAGCCCACCTGGGTATGGCGGTACGTGGTTGCGTATGCTTGTATAGTATGATGGCCCCCCATGCAAGGAACCCACTGGGCAGACACGACTCTGAGTGCAAGTGTGTGCATAGGAGCGTACATGTTTGGGTACAGCTTTCGCAAAGGCAAGGGTGGAGAGAAATCCGCTGATCAGACGGCCGGGCTGTGAACACAAGCCCATGTGGATAAGACTAGGTTGTGTTGACGTATGCTACGACCGCTCTCCAAGGAACCCAGTGGGCAGACACGCGTGTGAGGTTTCGTTAAAGATGATCTGGCAAACGCGACGGCACGCGTCAAACACGGACGTCATTAGCGCCCCACCCCCCGCCCGCCCCATCTGGGACCAACAAGAACGTGCTGTTGCCAACGAGACTTCTCTTGCTGCACGCGTCAACCACGGACGTTATTAGCCCCCCAACCCACCCCCCGCCAAGGAGACGTCTCTTGCTGCATGCGTCACACAAGGACATTATTATCCCCGCAGGTTTCAAACACGGCCGGTATTAGCCCCCCACCCCACCCCCCACCCGCCGCCCCTGGGACCGACACGAACGTGCTGGTGCCAACGCAACTTCTCTTGCTGCACGCGTCAAACACGAACGTTCGCTGGTGCCTTCTCTTGCCGCACGCGTCAAACACAGACGTTGTTATCCCCGCACGCGTCAAACACGGACGTTATTAGCCGCCCACCCCACCCCCCACCCCCCCACCCGCCCCCCCTGCGTCCGACAAGAACGTGCTGGTGCCAACGTGACTCGTCTTGCTGCACGCGTCAAAGACGTTACTGACCCCCCACCCCACCCCCCCCCCGAACCAAGCAGAACGTGCGTTTCGAGCCTCCAACACTGCATGCGTCAAACCCCGGACGTTCTTTGCCCCGACCCCGCCCCCCCACCCCACCACGACCACCCAAAACGTGCTTTTCCGGCCGGCCCCAACCCGACCCCCCCACCCCGCCCCCCCAGGACCAACCAAAACGTACTTTTCGAGACTCCGAAAGTGCGTTTTCGATGGTGCCGTTTTCAGCCCCCGAAGCATGCTCTGAAAACGCTTATCCGGAAACCAGCGAAAACATGCTTTTCGAGACTCCAAAAGTGCATTTTCAATGGTCTGTCAGATGTTTCCTAAAACAGCTCAAAACGCACGTTTCGGCCAGCACTTGCCAGCTGGGCAAGTGCACTTTCCTATGGTTTTTACAATGGATTCGGCACTTTAACAAGCAGGCCCGACAAACAAGATAGGGGCAAAGCCACCAGGCCGTGTTAACAATAGTACAGGGGCCAAGTTTAAGTAAATTGATGACTCGGACTCCTTCTACCAGCGTGTGGGGATTTTCGTAAAAGCTCCAAAACGTATTCTTTTCCAGAAGCATTCCAAAGCAGATTGTCGGAGAAATCTCCTTTTCTTTGCAAGATGCCGGTCATCTACAGTCACTGAGTTTCAACCCAGGGTCTCTTCCGTATGTTTCATTTTCTGGACTGGTCGGTCGAATCCGCCAGTTTCGGCATTAAAGAAATGTCCCGGATGCCCTCCCACACAAATGTCATCGAAGGTCAACAGCTTGTGTCTGCGTCACAATGCACGGAAATATTGTTGTACCAAGAGACATACATACACGAGCCTGCGCCGCTGCGTGCGTGCCTCCTTTTGAGGATGGGCAGATATAATGTGGGCGGTTAACGCAGCTCAGTGGATTGGATGCCGGGTGAGCTGAGCTGCCTCGTTGCACGGCCCGCAGAAACAGTTCATGAGACCTCTAGGCAACTACACCCATGACACCGCAGCCGGAAATCGCGAACCTGGCACCATCGGAGGCCGAGGTTGTTGTGTGAAGAGTGTGAATTGCTTGAGGACGGTGCCCAGAAGCAAGTGCGGTTGTTTCCCGGTTTAGTATTTCTCTGCTCCGCAGCAGGCGCTTACAGGCGTTCAAGTGCGCAAGCCAAGCGACAGGGCCAAGGCCAGCGGCAAAGGAGCAATGGCTTGTCCTGCTTAGTATGTTGCCCAGGCTGAGGAGAGAGATCGACAGAAAGCTGCACCGAAAATGTCCGAGGCCACCTTGGAAGGCTTGGTCTCGCTTGGTCTCGGACGCGATATCTTTGCTTTTGCAGAATGCGAAGCTCCTCAAGAAAACGAGACTCTTCGGGAATCTCTCAGACCAGGCGATGGATGCGGTCCTTCGGTGTCGCGTCGCTTCGTTTCTTTGAAGGCGCTCATCCACCTGGCAGACCACAGCGAGGCGCTGCCTTGCGTTCACTATCCTTCACTTGCCTTTGTGTGCTGTTGGCTTTGGGCCTGGTCCCCAGTCCCCGGAAGAGCAGGAGCAGGTGTGTGTATTTGGAGAGCTTCTTTATCGTGAAGGAGACAAGCAGACGACCAATTGGTCAGAGCCCGAGTGCGCCGTTTGTCCTTCTGGCTGTCCCATTTTGATTCTTGCAAGCCTCTTAACCCTCAAGTCCCAATCGCAAGCCCCAGATCCTGAAACCCGAAAACCTGAACAGACAAGCCAGGAAACCCTAATGGGAAACCCCCGTGGGATGATAGATCCTTAAATCCCAGTAGATTCAGATTCGAGGTGTTTAACTTGTTTAACTATTCGACTTGGTCAGGATGGCCATGGTCCTCTCCGGGATTTCGCGAAATTAAGGCATGGCCTCTGCGGCGACGGCGTAGGATTTAGAGTAGCTTTGTGGTTTGAGTTGGATGCATCTCGAGGGCCCGGGTTCCACAGGGTCCACCGCTCTCAGTCAAGAGTAAGATTCTGTCTACACCAAGGTTGCCTGATTGCCAGACGATGCCAGATGCATGAAGGGAAGACCCAAGACATACACACCCGAGGGCGCAAAACAGGGCAGGAGCGTGGAGGCTTTTTGTATTTGTGATTATAGCCACACCTTCAACGCTCCAAGCAACAGTCTTGAAGCCGCGATCTGGGGGTGGAAGCAGCCCGCATCGTGGAGCCTAAGGCCATACCTCTTGTCTGCAAATGAAAGCGGGGGAGCTTGAAAAGAAAAGACGAAGTCGCGATAGTTCCCCGTAACCTGCACCAGGAAATCCGAAAGTGAGTGCAGTGTCCAGTCCTCTCCCTGGCTGAGCAAAGCAAACTACGTATAGTCATCAAGAAGCTCATGGTCCCAGCTGCGCTCTAGTTGTCACCCCGACCCAGAGGCAGTATGGGAACCATTGCAAGAGTTTTTCGAAGCACACCCTTCCCGGGTCTGTGGAAAAACAGAACAGACCAGTAAGCCAGGACTCTTGAGCACATGGACGTGTCTTCTGCAAGAGCTTCAAGCCTTCCGGCACAAAGCTCCCCGAAGCGTGTGGCCATAGAAGGCTGCCCACGACTGAACTGACGATTGCGCAATAAGCGCCCGCAACCGTGTAACAAGTCTTCCACAAAGGCTCCTGCAACGTGTCTTTGTCCCCTTGCGAAGAGATGCTCGTCAAGATAACTTGGTCCGAGCTGAAGCAGCTTCTCGGTTCACGAGCGAAAGCACGGTGCAATGTCAAGGACATGACATCGGCGTCGCACATCTCGTAGAGTGTCGTACATCTTGCGTAACATCTCAGCATTGGGCACCAGTCCTTGGCGACGATGCACGCAACAAAGTCTGAGCTTTGTTTGAGTGATACAAGATGGAGATTCTTTGCGATGCCGATGCCATCCCGTATGGCAGCGATCCTTGGATGCGATCAGCCGGTTCCCAGAACATGTAGTTCCAAGCTTTTCCGGTACAGTAGCATTGGGACCGAGGAGTATGCATCCTATGGCCTGGTGCCTCCAGTTGAGCGAGAGGCCAGATGGCAAGCTCGTGGTAATCAATGCGTACCTACACATCACTACATCTATGTTTTATGTGTAACATGTTTCACCGTGTGCACATGCATGGTACCTGTGCGTGCCTATGCGCACTTCTACGTATGCTGTGCTTGGTAGTGACGAGTCTCGACAGCAGCATATTATTGTGATGGGAGTTTTTCTGGTTTCCCGCTGGAAAGTAATGCTCTTAGAGAAAACGTGTCTGAAGCTTCGTGGCAAAGCTTGCCGTCCGATCTGCAGGCATGCCTGGAGCATCCAGTGGAGACAGCGGTGAGATGCACCCTGGATGTTGCGCTCGGGCTGGCGGCCCAGGAAGCTAAGCTTGAACAACAAAACCCTTAGCCCAAAACCCTAGACAACTTGCCGCTGCCCTCCAACTGGCTCTGCTTTTCGCCTCCAGGTTGCTTCCACACCTCTTCGCGTCCGCGCACCCATCAGGAATGCTGCTGTGCAGCGCCTCTTCGGCAAGCATGTGTGGGGTTTAGGGTACGGGAGGACAACCAAGGGCCGCCGGGTAAGTAGTCAAACCCCCTACAACCCTCAGAGCCAACAAATACAGAGTACGCAGTAAGAGTTATCAGGGAACAAAACACCAACTTCCGAAAAACTTTGAACACCCTGAATGGGCACCAACCAGGATTACGGGGGTCCAGCAGAATCACAGAAAGGGTTTAGGGTTTGGGGTTCACATGTTGTTCAGCGATTTCGTGGCAGGCGCGACAATTGACCCCACGCTGGTGGTGCAGTGGCCTCTGCTTTCGGCCGGTGTCTGCATCCATGAAGCCGTTGAAGCCTTTGCCAAGGGGAGGAGTTACCGTCCTTGGCCTTGCCATCACCCTGACAAAGGCTGTCGGGTGATTCCTCACAAGTTTTACGTATTACCAAAACCGCCGTGGCCGCTTGGCATTGAGTGGGTGGGTGGGTGGGGGAATGGGGGTGCTTGCCTGGAACCTGGGTGGCGCTTGGGATGGAGGTGCAGCTCGCCAAAGCAACCTTGGAATTTTGCTCGGGAGCTCCAGGAGGGTTCCACAATCTGACCGAGCTTCACAACTGTCAACGCCAAAGCTTATAAGTCCTAAACGCTAGGGATTCACAGGGTACTTCGCGGTGAATATGAACTCGATACACGTTTGATACAACCTGAAAGAAATCTTCAGCTACCTGGGGTCTTCGCCGGTGCAATTGTAGCTTGACCCGGGCCAATTTCTGCCAGTTGAGTGATGGGGGTTTGGAGAGGCCAAGCGGTGCACGGGGTCTGGATTGGTCGCCTGACATTGGCTGGGTTATTGGGATGGAGCGGCGGGTGCTCACTTGGTGGACTTGTGTCGAAGAACATCAGCCAGCTTCTTCGCAGACGGGCTCCGTGCCTTGAAGTTCAAGTTGCTGTGCTTTGTCTGTCTTTCTTTTTCATCCACTGTCGGGGTCCTGGCGCAGTGAACGTTAGTGCTAGGGATTCTTACAGTTTTGCGGGTTGTCTGGTCCTGCCTTTTCAGTCTCGGTGTAGGATGAGATTCTCCACCTTTTCCGACGTCATGGTGTCGACCTGCAGCCGTGGACCTCAGACGTTTGGTGCGGTCCATCTCGTCACCATGCTTCTTGGGCCTACTCGTGATCTTTTCCTCAGGAGCTTCTTCGCAGGTTTATTTGCAGGCCGACAATCTTTTGCAGAGGCCTGTGTAGAGAAGGTTTTCATGGGCTGGGAAGTGCTGGCTGCGACTGGCAAGATGCTGCAGATGTCGGCTGATTTAAAATGCTTGGCCTTGCAGGCATACAGAGTGCTGGGCAAGATCGGGGAGGGTGGTTACGGCGTCATTCACCGAGTGCGGCACCGGCAGAGCCTCAGCAGCATGCAATTTAACTCGTCTCGGTTCCTGTCGGCTGGTGCTTTCGTCTAGTGTGGAAGGTGGCAAACCCCAATCCCACGAGGAGTGAAACGTTATACCTCAACCCTAACAGCAGTGGCTTTGGCCCGAGACCTCGAACTCCGATCCTAAACGGAGGGCCTACTTTTTTGGTCTTTTTCTTTGTGGTCCCCTGGTCCCCCGGTCCCCTTGGTCGCCTGGTCCCCTGGTCCAAACGCATGTTTTTTGCAGAGGCTTGCTACAGCAGTAAGCTTAGCGACGCCCAGACACTTTGGACTCACCGCATCTTTGTCCTGGTCCTATGGTCCAAAAGTCCCAAGCAAAAGTACGGCCTCTGGTTTCGCTGCCCGCCGAGTCGAAAAAGTCCCAAGCACAGGCAGCACAGGTACGGCCTGTGCGCCTTGCTTCCCACCGCGTAGAAGAAAGTTCTATGCAAAAGTACGGCCTCTGGGCCGTGCTTCCCACCCCTTATTGATTTTAGAAAGCTTAATGGTCTTGATTAAGGGGGTTTAGGGGTGCTGCAACACCATCGCGGACACGTTGCCCGACCTCTACGACTTAACTTCAAAAATGAAAACAACAAAAGCAAAAATCCAAAAACGCAAACCTCAAATTTTCAACTCAAAGGGGTTTTAATATGACCAAAAACCGAAAACAACTGCACAAACATAGGCAAAAGCCATACACATTCGACAAAATAACAAAACAACAAAACACATAACAACGGAAATGAGAAAAAGTAGGTCATTGATTTTTATGGTTTAGGATGGCTTCAAACATAACAGCATAATAATGTTAATAATGTAATGGTTGCGAAACTATAGAGAAAACACATACTCTACATGCTCCATCAATTCTTCGGTTGTGGTGTCCTTGGAGGGCGTGTTTTTTGCTTTCTTTATTTTGTTGCTTCCCTTTTTTGGTCCTCGTGTCCTAGGGAATGGTGGTTTTCCCGATGAAAATCCAAGATCATGAACCAGAAAACAAAATAAGTCCGAAATCCTATGAAAAAGTAGCATGAATGAGGGAAAACACAGAGGGAATGGTGGTTTTCTCTATGGAAATCCAACAAAATGAACCAGAAAATGCGAAGAGTTCCAATAAAGTAAATCAGAAAATCTATGAACAGTAATATGATTCGTAGGAATATGCAAGGGGAATGGTGGTTTGTTCTTTCTGGAAATACAAGAAGATTAATAAGAAAATAAGACACAATGAACCCGTAATCCAAGGAAGAGTGATCCTTTGACAATACGGAGGGAATGTGGTTCTCGTAGCAGAAACCAAGAAAACCAACCAACACAAAAAGGGAACCAAAAAAAGGAAGAACAAAAATCCACGCCCGTATAATAATTCTCCAACCGACATTCTTAAGCCATGCAAGCTTATCAAGCTTGCTTCAAAGCATATGAATCATTTTGAAACCCATCATGCAACCATTGTGTTTGCAAGTGGGGTGGGTCGTGCAAGCTTGCGTCAAAGCATATGAATCTATCTCGAAGACATCATGCGATATTTGTGTTTGCAAATGGGGGGGTGCGCCGGCCCCAACCCCCCCGCATTTTAAGCCGTGCAAGCTTGCTTCAAAGCATATGATGTTTTCTGAAACCCATCATGCAAGCGCTGCTTTTGCAATTGGGGGGGGGGGGTTGCGACCCCACCCAAACCCCCCGCTCTTTTAAGCCATGCAAACTTGCTTCAAAGCATATGAGTCTTTTTGAAACCCATCCTGCACGCATGGGGAGGGGGGGGGGGCGTGCAGGGCAAACAGGTCCACATCTAATGTGGACCGTCCAAGCACTTCTGGAAGATGCACCCTGTACTGTTGAGGTGGGCAACAGCTACGGGCACGTGTCTCCCAGCGAGGTGAAAGCTCGCGCCGAACGTGGGCATTATGGCTCCCAAGAGCCGCAACCCGGCCTTGAACGAAGCAACCCTAAACTGAAGTAACGCTGTGGTGAGTGAGTCAGTGCAGCCCTAATTAAATAAGATTCTTGAAGCCGCGCCTGCAAGAGCGAGTGTGCGAGTCGAAATCAAATCCTGTATCCAAATGCACAAAAGCCGAAATTGTTGTACCCAAATGCACCAAGGCCCCCAGCTGTGAGCGTTTGGTACATGTGTCATGTCACAGGGAAGCTCGAATCACAGTCCATACAGTGTCTTGCACCTAGTGCGCAGTGATGATCGTGACGCATGAGCCTGTGCTGAAAGAGCAGTGACGAGTGTAGCGCATGAGCACCGAAACCAAACCTTTAACACAAACCCTCGTTCGAAGCCATGGGGTAGCGCCTGAGACGTTCTGTCATGCTGCCCACTGCCTGGCCGGCCACTTTGGGCACTGCGGCCATTCTGAGACTGCTATGCAAACACTGCAGGCGGTTCGCCAACGGGCGGTGCATGGCTGCGCACTCAAAACCAGTGAACCTTGTTATGCAATTTAAGGTGTCCGGGGGCGGACACTTTAAACTAAGGAGGTCCAGCAGGCCACAGAATGTAAAATATGCACAGCTGGATTTACACTGCAACCATCATGGCCCCTGGCGCATCCATGTGCACCTTCATCAGCCAGTCCAAAAACCGGTTCTTCGACTGGCCCGGCTGCGGAGATGCGGCGGCCAGCTCCTCCAACACCAAGCGAGCTGACTTGGCATGCAGCCGGCGGGCAAGGAGCGACCATGGTGCACGACGTCGAAGAGGAGTCACACGTCTCTGCTCTGGCATTGGATGCTGTTTTGGGCACCGATGAGCAGGCCTACGCTGGCTAGGCTGTAACGAGGAGTTCAAACCAGCAACGGTAGCAGCCCGGTGCTGGCAATGGCGCAGGGGAATTGCAACAGTGGGAGACAACTGGCTCCTGCAATATATCGATACCGGGCATAGGTGGTGAGACGATGCATGTGTGATCTCCTGACGGGTACAGTATTCGGTACAGCATGGCTTTTCTGACGAGACTGCATGTGGACTGTTGGCAATGCTGCAAGTGAGAATTTGAGACATGTATTCGTACTGCTGCAAGTGAGAATTTGAGGCATGTATGCGGACTCCTGAGCAAGCGAGAGGCATGTTCGACACATTCTTGGATTCGTGGAGAGGCCAATAGCCTGTATTTTGAAACAGTCAGACATGTGAGCAGCTGTGACACCATGCTGCAACACGCGGTGGAAGTCTCAGCCTGACGTCAGCTCGGTACCGGCCCCCGTTTCTCCCTTATTTATGCTATGTACTTATTCATATACCTTCTCTTTCCTTATTTATGCTATGTATTTGTATATATACCTATGCCTTCCTCTCTGTTGAGAACACTGGCCGAGTACCAAGATTGCTGCCATGTCATTGTAGTGACGGTAGTAACGGTAGTAACGGTAGCGACGGAGACCTTGAAGCCGTGCCTGCGAGAGCGAGTGTGCGAGTCGAAACTGAAGTAACGGTAGCGGAACAGGTCATTGCGTCATGTTGTGAAGCCAAGCTGACAAGTTGACATGGTCTGGACATGGTAACGGGGCTTGTGGGGCTGTGTCCGAGCTGCGCAAAGACCAATGTGCTCCGAAGGGGGATCTGGGATACGCTGTTGCGTGTTTAGTGGGGGTTTTGGGGTGATGGTATCTCATCGCCCTCCTAAAGCCATCAAAGGCCTGAGGGTGCAGAGCGTGCACGGCTGGACAATGGCGTGCTGGAGAGCACCGAAAGTCTTGTGAAGAAAGTGGGTCTTCGAGCTCCACGAGACCTTTCTGCAACCTGTGGTGGAGGTGAGACGGCTCCGCCTTTAAACCCAGACGCCTGAAGTCAATATTTCCCAAATTGCCCACCTCCTGGAATCCTGTGTGCCTCGCACAAAGACGTAGCAGTCTGAAATCATGCATTGCCTGCACTCTCCAGTACCTGAGACCTCTCGCATTTCCTCCTCGCAGGTTTCAACAAAACTGACGGCATCGTCTACTGAGTCTACTGGTCTTTGAGCGCTTCCGTGCAGGCTGGGTACAAGTTCCCGCGGGACATTGGCTAGTCTTCGCAGCACTCGAACCAGAACCTCGCATGGACTTGAGCGTCAGATTGAAATCGATCACAAAGTGGACAAAAGAACAAAGCTCAAGCTAGCGTCAATGCGTATGAGTTTTTCGTGGAAATCATGCAGTTTCTGTGTTTGCAAAGGGGGGGGCTGTGCCCCCCCCCCCAACCCCTCTGCTTTTTTCAGCCGGCCGTGCAAGCTTGCTTCAAAGCATATGAACTGTTTTTTGAAACCCATCGTGCGGGCATTGTGTTTGCAAGTGGCCCCCCCTCCCCCCCCCCAACTCCTCTGCTGTTTTCAGCCGCACAAGCTTGTTTCAAAGCATATGGCTTATGATTCTTTTTGAAACCCATCATGCAAGCATCGTGTTTGCAATTGGGGGGGGCTGCGCTGCGTCCCCCCCAACCCAACTCCCCCCCAGCTTTTTAAGCCATGCAAACTTGCTTCAAAGCATATGAGCTGTTTTTGAAACCCATCATGCACGCACTCTGTTTGCAAATGGGGGGGGGGGGGGCGTGCAAGCTTGCGTCAAAGCATATGAATCTTTCGCGAAGACATTGCAACATTTGTGTTCGCAAATGGGGGACCTCCCCGCTCTTCACGCCGTGCAAGCTTGCTTGAAAGCATATGACCTTTTAAAACCCATCATGCGGCCCCCCCAACCCCTTCTGCTTGTTGCGCCACGCAAGCTGACTTCAAAGAATATGGCGTATGAATCTTTTTGAAGCTCATCATGCAAGCATAGTGTTTGCAAATGGGGGGAGGCTGCCCCCCCTCCCCCCCACCCGGTTTTTGAGCCACGCAAACTCGTGTCAAAGCATATGAGTCTTTTCGAAAACATCATGCGGGGGGGGGTGTGCGGCTTAAACCGGGTTTATTTGGAAGCTGGCATTCGTATATTAGATAGGGAAAAGTGACCAAAATCCTTAATATATACACAAGAGCCAGCTTCCAAATAAACCCTAT